ATAGTCAGTATTCTTCCCCAATTGAAGTGAGTCAATTCTTCTTTAGTCTTCCTTTTCCATTGCCTAGCTTTTCCATACATATGAGACAATTGAAATGATGATGCCTTGGGTCAAGCACACCTTAGTCATCAAAGTGACATCTTTGCTTTTCAGCACTTTAAAAAGGCTTTTTTTTTTTTTTTTTTTTGGCAGGTTTTACCAATGCAATATAGTTGATTTCTTAATTCCTACTTCTTTGGTCACTGATGATTGATCCACGTATAATGAAATCCTTAACAACATCAGTTTCTTTGCCATGTGTCATGATGCTGTTTATCAGACCAGTTGTGAGGATTTTCATTTTCTGTATATTCAGGCATAATCTATATTGAAAGCTGCGGTCTTTGACTTTCAACAGTAAATGCTTCAAGTTGTCATCACTTTCAACAAACAAGGTTATGTCATCTGCGTATCACAGGTTGTTAATGAGTCTTCCCTGATCCTGATGTCCCCAGCCTTAGCAACCTCTAATCTACTATCTGTGTCTATAGATTTGCTTATTCTAGGCATTTGATATGAATGGGCTCATAATATATAGTCTTTTGCGATTGGCTTCCTTCACTTAGCAAAATGTGTTCCAGATTCATCTATGCTGTAGCATGCGTCAGTACTTCATTCCTTTTTATGGATGAATAATATGAATATACCACATTTTGTTTATCCATGCATCAATTGATGGTTATATTGGTTGTTTCCACCTTTTAACTACTATGAATAATGCTTTTATGAACATTTGTGTACCATATTTTGTATAGATGTATGTTTTCAGTTCTCTTGGGTATATATATCTAAGAGTAGAATTTCTGGATCATATGAAATGCCACGTTTATTTCTTGAAGAATTGCCACACTGTTTTCCAAATTGGCTTCATCATTTTACATTTCTACCAGCAGTGTATAAAGGTTTCAATTTCTGTACATCCTCACTAATACTTGTGGTGATCTAACTTTGTTATTAAAGCCATCCTAGTGGGTGTGAAGGAGTCCGTAGGTGGTGCAAAAGTTAAACAACCAACCATAAAGGTTGGTGGTTCAAATCCACTCAGAAAGCCCTCAAAAGAAAGCCTTGCCTATCTACTTCTGAAAGATCACAGCCATTGAAAACACTGTGGAACACAGTTCTACTCTGAAACACATGGAGTCACCATGAGTCAGAGTCAACAGCAACTGGTTATTTTTTAGTGTGTGTGAACTGATATCTCCTTGTGGTTTTGATTTTAATTTCCCTGAGAGTTAATTATATTGAGCATCTTTTCATGTGCTTATTAGCTGTTCATATACCCTCCTTATAGAAATGTCTATTCAGATTTTTGGCTCAGTTTTTAATTGAGTTTTCGGTTGTTGTTGAGTTGTAAGAGTTCTTTATGTTCTAGATACAAATTCTTTATTAGATACCTGATTTGCAGCTATTCTTTCTGTGTTAAATTGGGTTCTCTAGAGAACAAAAAAACAGTAAAGGTTATATATATGTATATGTAGAGAGAAATTTATCTTAGGAAAATGGCTCACACACTTATAGAAGCTGGCAAGTCCAAGTTCCTGGATCAAACGTCAAGCTGGAGGCTTTTCCGGGCTCTGGCAACCACAGGGGCTGAGGAGCTCAAGGCTGGCAGGCAGTACACTGGCTGTTGACTCTAACAAATGATGAATCCAAGATCTCCAGGCCAAATGGTGGACTGTTCACTCATGGACAGTTGTAGGCAGCACAACAGAATCCCAATCCACAGAAGAATGTCTCTCTTCCCAGGATGTCCTTGGATATACTAGAAGCAGGCCACACTCCTAGGGAAACTCCCTTTCAACAGATTGGTCACTCGGAACATAATCATCTGATCCCATCATGGGAACAACCACACCACAACAGCTCAAACCACACAGAATTGTGGTCCAGCCAAGTTGACACACAGCTCCAACTATCACACTTTCCTATTCTGTAAATTGTTTATTCACTTTCTTAATAGTGTCCTTTAAAGCACAAACATTTTAATGAAGTATAATTTATCTATTTTTTTCTTTTCTTGATTGTGCTTTTAGTACGATATCTAAGATTCCGTTGCTGTTGATTCACTTTGAGTTAATTTTTGTAGATGGGGTGAAGTAAAGTCCATGTGTCTCTCTTTAAGGGCTAATAAACCTTTCTGATTAGATCAGAACTGGGTCACATATTTTCCCAAAAATTAATCACTGGCAAGGAAAATGGGACCACCTGGATTGACCTAGATCAAGCAGGATTATCGACATCACATGGATGATGGGTGGGCAAAGGAATAAAATCTAGCTTTTACTGGTATGGGCAAGGGGAAATGGCCATTAAATAGATAATCAAAAGTGTCTGCTACAAGGTCCTCAAATGCCATGTTGCACAGTTGGTCTGGTCTTCTTTTATAATTCAGCAAATGGGAATGAAAAACATCACACTTGTTTGTCATAAGTTGTCAGATGGAATCTACAAACAGGGAGGGAGATAAACCCAACTCTCCTAATAAGTGGACTCTTAACAGCTTCACCTTCTGTTATATTTAAAATTTTCCTCCTTCCTGTCAAAGGAGTGAAAGTCAGTTACCATATTTAAGCTGTGAGGAAAGAAGAGGTATGGTTTAGAAGAAATGGTATAGCAATTATTTTGAAAGATTTTGGTTTTATTTTCTAATTACTACTATGCTATGAATTATTGGGGGAGTTCTGGTGGTGCAGTGGGTAAGGCATTTGGCTGCTAACCAGAAGGTTGGTAGTTCAAACCCACCAACTGCTCTATGGGAGGAAGATGAGGCAATCTATTTCATTGGAAACCCTATGTGGTCGCTATGAGTCGGAATATTACATAAATGAACAATTCTTGATACTCGTTACATCTTTTGTGAATGACAATGGACTTTGATAGAAAACTAGTTCCTATCAAGTTGATCCCAGCTTATGGAGACCCCCATGTGTGTCAGAGTAGAACTGTGCTCCATAAGGTTTTCAATGGCTGATTTTTCAGAAGGAGATAATAGCCAAGTCTTTCTTCTGAGCCACCTCTGGGTGGACTCTAATCTTCAACCTTTTGTTTAGCAGTCAAGCATGTTAATCCTAGGAAACCAAAGCACCATATATGCAAAACAGAGGTATAAGGCTTTCATGCCTGATTTGCTTACATTTAAAAAAAAAAAAAAAAAAAACTCTCTACTACTTGTAGAAGATAATTAAATACATTTTGTTATATGTGCAATATGTGATTGACATGTGTCTTAGTTTGGAAGTAGAAACCATTAAAAATGCATTGTCTTCATGCGTACCATTTTGAAAAAATCATGTTTCATGGGGAATAAGCCATGACAAACCCCGTGCCCTGGGAACTACATGTCAATGGATAGACCCGTTCATGGCTGCCAGGAACTTGTGATAAATTCATTTCTTTAGAACTGTGACTGTAGTAGAACATTTGGATACTATAGAGAGTTCTTCATTTAGTCATCATCTCTATAATCATTGAATTGGACAGTTTTTAGAATACAGTTGATACTAACGGCAGGTTTTCTAACACACCCACCTAGTTTGATTTTTATAACAAAGAGAAGACAAATGCCTGAGGCACTATGCCATCTATGCCTGAGAAGACATTAGACTACTGAAACACACAGAAGGGACCCAGAGAAATAAAAATGAAAATTATTTCTGAATACTTGTGGTACTTTGCTTGTGTGATAGGGGGCAGAGAAAAATAAAAATGAAAATTATTTCTGAATACTTTCAGTACTTCCCTTGTGTGGTAGGAGCAAAGACTATACTAATTTCTGTCTAGCAGAGGAAAATATATTTTTCAAAACATTGCGAAATAAAATGATAACAGTTTAGCATATGTGAATGCATAGTTGGAAACAGCTCTTACTAGGGCTTTTTGCCTCCAAAACATTAAATTCCCCTCCCCACTCTACCCCACCTTTCTCAGTGTTCTGTTCCCATATCCATTCAGATGGATGCAAGGAATCACATTTGACTTCATAACATATGAAAAACAGACACACACACAAACAGAATGTTACTCACCATAAATACTTTTAAAGATGAAGAGAAAAGAATTTTTATTTGCCAAGAAGTATTAGGCTTGGGTTTTTGTTTATTTGGGTTTTTTTTTTCCCCCCCTAGGTTTCTGTTTTAAAGCTTTTTTATATATATTATTGTTGGTTGAGGTTGAGTTGACTGTGATTCATGGCTACCTTATGTATAAGAGAATAAAATGTTGCCTGGGTCTGTGCCCCCTTCATGCTCATTGGAAGCCCATTTTTGTGGTTATTGTGTCAATCTATCCCATTGAGGGTCTCCCTGGTTTTCACTGACCTTTCCTGATTATGTGTCCAAACTAAGCAAGTCAAAATCTTGCCACCCTTGCTTCTAAGGGGCACTCTGGTTATATTTCTTCCAAGACTAATTTGTGCTTTTGTTGTTGTTACTGTATGCTGCTATGAGTTGATTTCAACTCATAGTGACCTTATAAGACAGAGTAGAACTGTCCCATAGGGTTCCTAGGCTATAATTTTATTTGGAGCAGATTACCAGGTCTTTTCTCCCTCAAACCACCAACCTCTTGGTTAGCAGCCAAGGACTTAATCACTGTGTCACCAGAGCTCCTGTTTGTGATTGTTGTTGTTGTTGTTGTTATGTGCCATCGAGTCGGCCCCGACTCATAGCGACCCCTCCTTGGGTTTCCGAGGCAGTATCACTACGGAAGTAGGATTGCCCAACCTTCCTTCCGAGGAGTGGCTGGTGGGTTTGAACCGCCAGCCTTCTGGTTAGCAGTCAAGTGCTTTAGCCACTATGCTACCAGAGCTCCTTGTTTGTGATTAGTAATATGGAAATATGAAAGGTTTGTTTTCTTATTTCAGTGCTGCACCTTTAAGAAATAAAAACCCCATCTCCCCTCAGAGGTAAGTAACTTGATGGGTTTTCCTTTCTAAAAGTAGTGTTTCTTCTTTCTTGCGCCAGCACATTCCTCTCCAGACACTGCTGAAGTTCATGGTGGATATTGCCCTGGGAATGGAGTATCTGAGCAACAGAAATTTTCTTCATCGAGACTTAGCTGCTCGAAACTGCATGTAAGATCTTGGCCCATCCTGGGAGGGTTGAACTTTATGGTGTTTGATCTTTCTGGGGAATAAGGGGGTAAAGGATGGCCTATTAGTATTAAAAATATGGAAGAGAGCTAGCTTTGTGAGGGGAATGTGGAGCTGGCTCTGGAGGTGGAATTTCTATAGCCCTGATATATGAATGAATTTTTGCTTGGGGGTCTCACTGCCTCAGTCTTTGTGAGTTTGATTGGCTTCTGAAACGTTTTCCTGTTTTTCACACCTTCACCCACCTAAGAATACTAGGTGTGATCTTTCACTACTGCCATCAGCTTCCTTGGGATCCAGAATTACAATTGAGTCAGCTAATCATGGAGACTGTAATGAAAACAGTGAAAGTTTTGTCCCTAAGTTTTCCTGACCCTTCCTTCTGAAGAAGTTGTACATTTTGAGTAAATGGGAGTTTTCCTTTCACAGCAGAGAGACAAGGGGTTATCCAATAACTTTGGACTTAAACTCTCTCCATTTCTTCAGCCTACTTCAACAGAGCCATTATCTGCTATAAATCTTCTAAGTTAATAGATATTTCTTGTTCTTAAGTTTGGTATTGCAAGAAGAGGAGCTCTGGTAGCATAGTGCCTAAGTTCAAACCTACCAGCCACTCCTCCAAAGGAAGGTTGGGCAATCTACTTCCATAGTGATACCACCTCAGAAACCCAAGGTCTCTATGAGTTGGTCTGACTCAATGGCAAATAACAACAACAACAACATTGCAAGAAGAGGGAGTGCTTTTTTTTAAATGTATTATTGTTATTTGTTTTTCCCTGGTTGGAGATATGACAATTGGCCTGACCCCTCACTCCTCCCAACACACCTATAACCTGACTCTTGCCCCTCCTATCTCATTTTTAAAAAACCCAGAAGGAATTTTTGTTTTGTTTTTTATTTATATAATTTTTCAAACAGGGTGGGAGAATCCTGAAAACCTTTTGCCCCTAATATTTCCTTCATGTTTTTCCCTCCAGGTAGGGTGACCAAGTGTCCAGTTTGCCCAGGATTTAGGTTTCCTAGGACATAGGGAAACCTCAGTTTTGAAAGTTTTGAAACTGAGTCATTGTTGACAAACAGGGATGCATTAGTCACCGTGCCTGATGATATAGGCCATTCTATATCTTCTTGTGATCACTGATCATGAATGGTTTTGGGTGCATCTAAAGCAGCCATGAGATATAAGGATTTGTCTCTGAGGTCACTGAGAACATGAACTTGCCCTTTGTAGGTTGAGAGATGACATGACTGTGTGTGTCGCAGACTTTGGTCTTTCCAAGAAGATTTACAGTGGTGATTACTACCGCCAAGGCCGCATCGCCAAGATGCCTGTGAAATGGATCGCCATAGAGAGTCTTGCAGATCGAATCTACACAAGTAAAAGTGACGTGGTACGTATACAGTTTTGATCAGAGTGCCACACTGAAAAGAAGTGACTTAACTTGGGGTTAACAATAAAATGTCTTTTATTTTATTCTTTAATAAACTGAGGATTGAGGAACATGCTCAGACCTCCCTTTTACTTATGGCTAAAAAACCAACCAAAACCTGTTGCTGTCAAGTCAATTCTGACTCTCAGCAATTTCCATGTGTGTCAGAGTAGAACTGTGCTCCATAATGTTTTCAATAGATGATTTTTCAAGAAGTAGGTCACTAGGCTTTTCTTCCAAGGGACTTCTGAGTGGACTCCAACCTTTTGGTTAGCAGCCAAGTGCAGTAATCACTTTGTACACACCCAGGGTCAGGTACTTTAATTCAAGTGGAACACTAAAAGAAACAAAAACAAAACCCACTGCCATTGAGTCAGATCTGATTCATAGTGACCTACAGGACAGAGTAGAACTGCACCATAAAGTTTCCAAGGCTGTAATTTTTGCAGAAGCAGACTGCCACATCATTCTCCCATGGGACAGTTGGTGGATTTGAAGTGCCAACCTTTAGGCTAGTAGCCAAGCATTTAACCACTGTGCCACTAGGGCCACTACATTCTGATAAATCATTCTGACATTCAGAAGATCTGTGCTTTGCATGAGGCCTTAATTTATCCCCATTTTCTTTACTACAATATAGTGATTTACTGCCTGCAACTAAGATATTTCAGATTTATATTGAATTGAATGACTTTATCCAATGGCTCTTTGGAACCAAAATGCTATATACAAAATGCTGAATAATTCTATCCTTGACCAGAGATTGGGAAAAGAAAACACTTCAGAACAACATTGGAGCCGAGCATTAAGCAGAGGATTTATGTGAGGTGTGGCTATTATGTCTGCCTTTGTCAAATTTCCCAAAACAGCTTTAGTGAAATGGGAAACTGTAAAAATAGCATGGTGGGTGCATCTGACCTCCTCTAACTTCACAAGGGGGAAGGAGAATCAAGATCAGTAACCCAAGGCTGATTCTTATGAGGCAGAGGTCAGACATACCTCCTCTCTCCAACTTTTTTTTACCAATTCTGACACAGCCATCCCTCCCACAGATGTCACTTTATACTTTTCTGTTGGGTTCGATAATGTGTTGCAATAGCCACGATGAACTCAGGCAATACTCAAGATTATGGAGTTTATTAGGAAAGTAACAGGTTATAATTCGGTATCAGGAATGACTCAGATTGTAGACCTTTGATCAGAACAGCCTCTACGTCTGCTGCTAGGCTCTGCTCGGGGCCTTCTCGGACAACTGTTACAAAGCTCTTTAGTTCCAATGATAAGTACCCAGAGGCACCCCACTCCATCAATAATATTGGCGTGAAAGTGCTCGGCTCTCTAAGTCCATGGGTTGGCAAACCCAGCTCCTCCACTAAGTGCCAGGATACACCCCACTCCACCAGCAAGCCTCTTGGAGGAAGGCATTCAGCTTTCTTGCTCTGGGTTGGCAAGCCCACTACACTGTCTCCTGGTTCTGCTGCAGCAGTTCTCTGCTGTGCTTGCCACCACTTCTCCCTGTCTTAGGCCTTCTCTGGTGTTACAGCTCTCCTTTCTTAGTAGTAGTGAAGTCCCACCTCTGTCAACTTCTGGAATGGCTTTTTTTTTTTTTTTTTAATTGTGATTTGGGTGAAGATTTACAGAGCAAATTCACTTTCCATACAGCAGTTCACATACACTTTGTCTCATGACATTGACCACAGTTTACCACAATGCAACAGCTCCCCTTCCGATTCCTTCCCATAGTTACCTTTTCCCAGTGTCCATCCTTCCAGGCACTCCTGTGGAATGGCTCATTTTTAAGGCTGGTGGGATGGTAAAACTTACCAATCCCCTTGTTAGGGTCCCATATACCTTATTTGCATAGTCCCAGTCCCACAAGGGTGCCATCACCATATTTGCGTTATTAGTAAGGTGTCTAATCCCCTCAGTGGGGCACAAGCACCTTATTTGCATAATCCCACCTAATCATTTGGTGGGAGTTACAAGACCATGGCAAGAAAGGCCATATAAAAATGACGTGCCTTGGACATAATTACCAGCTTTGTGCACAATCTACAGGGCCTTTAGGAAATGACCTTTTCCAATGAAAAAGTCCATTCAGCCTTTCTGGAAAGACTTGCATCCTAACTTCTTGTTGCTTTGTTCTCAGTGGGCATTTGGCGTGACCATGTGGGAAATAGCGACACGGGGGATGACTCCCTATCCCGGAGTCCAGAACCATGAAATTTATGACTATCTTCTCCATGGCCACCGGCTGACGCAGCCAGAGGACTGTCTGGATGAACTGTGAGTGAGCTTCTCCATCCCTGAGCACTTGGCCAGGTCAGGCAGTTAGCTCTGCTGAGACCTGGGATGCACAGCCATGGGGGTGGGGTGAGGAGGCCTGCTGGTGAGCGAAGGTTAGCCAGGTGAACAGGTGCAGAAGTTGGCACATGGAGACATGACAGGCCGTGGCCTTTTCTGGTCTGGGAGATACGGTGGGCACATCATCTGTGGCCCTGCTCATCTGAAAGGAAGCTGTACCTCTGGTCTCAGCTTCAATAGAAAGGTTCTGTGAAGACAAGGCCAAAACCTGTGCTTTTAAGTTCTTTACACCACTAAGAAATGTATCCATATATAGATATTTACTTTATAATGCATAAAAGACTTGAATGCTTCAACTTCCTCCTTTCGGTAGTTATTCTTCTCTTTCCTACATAGCATGTCAAACTAACCAATCATGGTAATATCCTTAAACTGGAAATTATGAAATCTAAGCCAGTGGCTTTGAAATCAGGCTAGTTCTTAGAATCACTTGGGGAATATTCTGACAATGTGATTCCTTGCCTTTGTACATGGAGGTTGCGATTCTGTTGGTACAAATTAGGGCCAGAAATTTGTATTTTAAAACACTGCCCATGAGTCACCAATTCCAGCATAAGCAAGACCACAGTGCAAATCCTGTCCTGCCAGGCTCTGTGCTGTAAGACAGAGTGATATGGGAAGACGCCAGGGCCTTGGAGTCAACAGGTCAGCCTCTGACTCCTAACTTGCTTTGTATGTGGCCATGGCAACTGATTTACTTCTCTTTGCCTCAGGGTCTTCAGCCATGAAAAAAGAAGTGTATAGTTGCAGATTTTTCAGAGTTGTTGTGAGGGTTAAATAAGAAAGTGTCTGTGGAATGCTCAACCTGTACATGTTCACATAATGGTCAATTATGAATGGCCCATTACAAATTGATCTCCCCCAAGTACCTTGCTGGCCTTTTTAAAATAATTTTGGTGGTGCAATGTCTTAGGCTGCACTCTCTAGAGGAGCAAAACTAATAAAATGTATATATGTAAAATATATGGAGGGGTTTCATTCAAGGAAATGGCTCATGCAGTTGTTGAGGCTGGCAAGTCCCAAATCCATGGGCCAGGTATCAGTCTGGAGGCTTTTCCTGACTCACTTGGTTGCAGAGCTGACAAACTCAAAATCAGCAGGCTCCTGGCTCATGGGGCTACAGGAGCTGGCGAATCCCAATATCTGCACATCAGGTGGAAGTTTGCTGCCTTATGTTCCAAAAACCGAAGGTCAGATGATGACATGTTGGATGCAGGATCCAGAGTAAGAGTGAGCCTTGCTGGAATATCCATTTATATGGGCAAGCCAGACCCCCAAGGAAGCTCCTCCATCAATTGATTGGCTATGTATATTAGATTTCCTCATAAAGGAATCAGATCTCCTTGTGAAGGTGATTGCATTATATTAGATCTCCCACAGAAGTGATTATATTCTATTATATAATAGAAGAGCAGTCAGTCCAATATCTGCCAAACCAAGAGAATCATAGCCTTGTCAAGATGGCACATAGAATTAACCTTCACGTGCTGCCTTTAGCTTGGTGATTTGGATCTTCCTGATATACAAGTCTTCTCCTTGTGTACACAGGGGTGATGGACTTGGAGAGGGGCATTTATACCAAATTTAACAAGAATGTTTCAGGACCTTGAGCTTGTCTTGAAAAGCCATGTCTGGGTACTAGCACATGTGAGCACATGCAGGAACCCCCAAGCTGGAGTCCATGTTCCTTACACAGGTAAGAGAGGCCTGGAATAGCTTTGCCCACAGGCCTCCTCAGTCCCTTCCAAGCCAAACAGAAGACAGCCATTTAATCAGAGATTTTCCCTGCTTGGTGGTAGTTGCAGTGGTTGTTATTGTTGTGGTCACTGTGTAATATTAAAAACAAAAGTAAGCCCTTTTAAAAATATCATGAAATCATAATTAAGGGCCTAAAGTTTCTTTGCTTCTTAAAATGAAGAGACATTTCAATCAGACAATGTTGAATGAAAGAGTCTCGTTGCTATTTCTCTCTTGGCTTCTTCTCTGTGCCAAAGAAGTTGATGTTTAGAGTGATTATCTTGGGTCTTAGCAAGGTCTAAGCTGTGTCACATTGTGGTTTTTAGATGTTGCACATAGAGCCAACACAGGAATGCTGGGGAATGCTGAGTCGGCTTTCCATGAGACTGTTTAGGTGAAAGAGTGGCAGAGTCAGCCCACACTGTGACCACAGGCTGGGGAATTGGGGCAGAAGCAGACAGATCTGTGGTCCCCGCGTATCCAGCTGACCACTGCACCCAGACTTGAAGAGCTTGCTGTGACCTGCTGACTGGTCTTGGGCCCTGGTGAGCCCATCCTTCTTCTCAAGTCTCCTCTAGCCTCTGGATACTGGTAAAGAGTGGTGTCCACCAGAGAGGCCTCTGTGGATCTCTTTGTGAAGCATTTTTTTAAAAAATGAAATAGATATTTCTGAGCTTCTCATCTAAACTTAGTTGAGATGAGTTTGCACCTTTAATTTCACCTCTTTAAAAAGTCAATGCTAAGAAATATAATGTTGTAAAGAGCAGGCCCTGTATGACCTGCTCTCTGGTCCTCCCCCTCTGAGGGCCACCACTTCTCATGTATCAGCCCCACCTCTGAATGACCAGGTGGTACATCTCTTGCCCATTGTTCAGAGAGGCAGCTCTATGGAATGCTCCTCTGCCTCTCCCCTGCCTTTGCCTCCCAGGGAACATTTTCTCAGCTTTGCTCATCCTGACTACCTTGCTACACCACTCAAGCCCCCTCACACACACCAGTTGATCACTGTGGTTCATGGCATCAGCAATCACTCACCTCATCCTCCAGCATAACAGATGGGAGCCACCTTGTCCTATCTTTGTTCCACTGGGCCCCATCAGCAGCAGTTGTCCTTTGGAGTCCACCTACCCTTCACTTAACACTGTGAAATCACAGAAGCCCAGGGCTGGGTGTGGCCAGAGGTTATCTGCTCCCACTTCCTCATCACGTCTGATAAAATGACACTCCTGTGTAAATAAGTGAGTGGACAGGTTAGGGCCTGCATTATTTCCTGCTAGAATATTGCAGGCTGTTATAACTGTTCCTGTTGCCTCCTGGCTTGTTTTTCTCCTCACTCCCAGGCTTTCCATATATCCTTTGGGTAGCAACCTTTATAGAATTATAATCTGCTGATACAGTGCACCTGAAAATAATCTTTCACTGGTTCCCCATTGCTTCTGACTCATAATAACCCTGTAAAATAGAGTGGAGTTGCCCCATACAGTTTCCAAGGCTGTAATCTTTACAGAAGCAGACTGCCATATCTTTCTCCCCTGGAGAGCTGGTGGGTTCCAGCTACTGACTTTTTGGTTAACAGTCAAGTCCTTAACCACTTGAACCACCAGGGCTTTTTTCCCCATTGCTCATAGAGTGAAAACCAAATCCAGGAGGATATGACCCATGGCAGGCAGGGTAGCTCAGTGGCTAAGAAAATGGGCAGTGGTGCTAAATAGCCCTTGGTTTGAGTCATGGCTTCACCCTTGTCCTTGGGCAAAGTATTATCCTCTCAGGTTACTCATTAATAAAATGAGGATAGTAGTACCTGTGTGATGAGGTGGTTCTGATTGAGCAAGCAAGTATTTATTAACATGATGGCTATCAAGTAGTAACAGTAAGTATTGTTGATAAATATTTTTAGTGAAGGAAATAGAGGTTGTCTTTTAGTTTCCTAGTATGCTATAACAGAAATACCACAGATAGATGGCTCTACCATTTAGTTTTTTCACAGTTTGGAGGCCAGAAGGCTGAAAAGAGGGCACTGCCTCTAGTGGAAGGCTTTTTCTCTTTGTTGGCTCTGGAGGAAGGTCCTTGACTCTTTTCAGCTTCTGTTGTTTGGTTCCTTGGCAGTCTTCATGTGGCGTGGCATCTGTGTCATCTCCCCCCACCCCCAGCTGTGCTTTCTTGCTTCTTTGCCTAATCTGCTTTTTCTATCTCAAAAGTAATTAGGTTTAAGACATACCCACACTATTACAGCCTCATTAACATAACAAAGAATCCTATTCCCAAATAGAATCATATCCGTATATTCTAACACATATTTTAGGAGAATACAGTTCAATCCATATCAGAGGTCATGGTGTCAGATGGACAAGGACTGTGTGACTTAGGTCACTCTCTTCTCCAAGCCTCAGTTGCTCCATCTGTAAGTGAGACTATACTTTGTCCCTCACGAAGCTTCTGTGCGGGGTAAATGGTCAAGACACAACAGCCCCACACACTGCCAGCACAGGCTGATAATGTTCTATCTGTGATAGCCACTTAGAATTAGAGGCTTCTCCCCGGGATAGCTCCAGGGATCATCTGCCATCTATCAGAACACCACCCACTAATCTTCATATACCTGACTATCCCTCCTCTCCCCCTTCCCCTTCCCCACTGAACCTGAGCTTTGCATCATTGTGATATTCAGGCCCTGGAATGATAGCAAGGCACTGAGCTGGCCTGCATTTGTGTCTGCTGCTCCTCGCCTCTGAGTTGTTATTGTTGTTGTTATGTGCCGTCGAATCAAACCCAACTCATAGCGACCCCTCCTTGGGTTTCCGAGGCAGTATCACTACGGAAGTAGGATTGCCCAACCTTCCTTCCGAGGAGTGGCTGGTGGGTTTGAACCGCCAGCCGTCTGGTTAGCAGGCAAGTGCCTTAGCCACTATGCTACCAGAGCTCCCTCTGAGTAACCCAGCTCATATCACCTTTTCCCTCCCAGAAATCCTGCTGGTCCATTGCTTCATTTCCATTTGAGGTAATCCAGACCTCAGGAAGGAAAGGGATGGGAGTCACAATTGGCCAAATAGCAGAGCTAGAATTATGTCCTGGCTTAGCACTGTAGAGACAGGAGCACAGCTGAGGGAGGTGAGTGTCCTTTCTCTGAGCAGAGTTGAAGCCCTGCCCTCAGCCACCCTTAGAGTCAGGAACAAAGCAGGGGCTTGACAGCTATGGGTAGAAGGCACATTCAGCAATGTTTGTGACGGCATTGTTTAGGAAATCTATTGAGAAAAACAAAAATGACCATTTATGCAGGCAACTACTAAACTTATTTTTTTTCCATCCATAAAATTTAAATCACTAAACATCACAGCCCCTCACACACACACACACACACACACTCATCAGGCACAGGGCCTCTTATTCTCCTCCATCCACTACTATGAAATTACCCTTTCATGAGAGAGGGTTACACAGTATACATCCTCACTGTGCCATGAAATGTCATATGTGTATTTTATAATGTATTGAAAATAAAAGAAAAATAGGTTTTAAAATGACATTACTACTGTTCTGTTTGGTGGGGGGGACGATTATTTAAACACTTACTACCAAGACATGGAATAAATGAAAACAAATAGCACAGTGCCTTGATGAAATAATAAAAAGGAGATTATGTCCCTAAGGACAGACTCCCTAAAGTTCATCACAGACTACAAACAATCAAGGCTTTGTGGACTTTAAAAAAAAAAAAAAAAAAAATCATGAAATTGGATATATGCCATGAAACCTCAGAAAGAAAAACAAAAATTACTTGCCAGATCTAACTGACCATCTAATGGAGGTTAAAAAAAGAGACTAAAATGAAAGTCTCTGTGTCTGAAGTACAGGTGTGGATCAGGACGGGCAGTCTGGGAAATGTGCCCCACCACCATCTCAGTGTCTGGTGTTTGTGACTAATCTCATATGCATAATGCTTTGTAAGTCTCTGCCTTCTGGAAGCAAGCATGTGCAAGTGTTGATAAAGGGCAAAAAAGTAGACAAATGAAATGATTATATGCCTTCATGAAATGAGATCAGTCAGTACATTGTGTATAAAGTATTATGCCTTTGTAGAACTAGCCAAAGGATCTACATGATGCAATTAAATATAAATATGGAAATTTCACATTTATGTTTACAAGATACCAATGATCTACTATGTGTCAGATTATTTAAATTGGGGTCATAATTCTTCTCCAGTGACATGAATATCAATGTCTCAAAACAGGAAAGGATCAAAATGAAGTGATGCTATAATTCACTCTTCATCTCAGTCTTGTTGTTGTTGTTGTTATGTGCCATCGAGTCAGACCTGACTCATAGTGACCCCTCCTTGGGTTTCCGAGGCAGTATCACTACAGAAGTAGATTGCCCCATCTTCCTTCCGAGGAGTGGCTGGTGAGTTTGAACTGCTAGCCTTCTGGTTAGCAGTCAAGTGCCTTAGGCACTATGCTACCAGAGCTCCCTCATCTCAGTCTAGTATTTCCCAATTTAGTCATCTCTCTACATTTATTATACTCATTTAAAAAATTCCTCTATTGCAATTCTTAATTATATTGGACACTGGGAATGAAGAAACCACCAAGAAGAGAGCAATCCCCTATAGAAATACAGCAGAGGGTCATGGAGAGCACTAGGCTTAAGAGTTGTCCAACTTGCGTCTGGTCCCCACGCTACTCCCTGCTGCCCATGTAGCCTTGGCACCTTCTGTAACATCCCCCAACCCACTCTTTTTGTTGTTGCTGTTACAAAGTGACAGATTAGATGTAGTGGTACTCACAAAATATCTAGCACAGTGAAGCTCCTGCCTTTCATCCTCCTCCCTCCACCCAACCCTCCCACCAACTCCTAGGCTGCTTAGCTCTAGCTCTTGGGACCTTCTAACTCAGCTCTCCTGGTGACAACCCACTTTGATAGTATAGACAGCAAACTCTTTCTGTAAAGAGCCAAATAGAAAATATTTGTGGCTTTGTGGACCATATGGTCTCTGCAGCAACTACTCAACTCTGCCATTATAGCCAAAGCAACCATAAAAGATACATAAATGAATAGGTATATAGCTGTATGCCAATAAAACTTTATTGACAAAAACAGAATGAGGGCCAGTTTTGGTACGTAGGCCACAGTTTGCCAACCCCTGATATAAAATAAAGGCCCTTAAATATTCCTATGCAAAGGGAGATATAATTGCCACATTCCTGGAAACAGAGCATTACTTTTTTGTCAAATACCCATGGGGCATTTACAAAAGTTAAATATTAGGCTACACAGAAAATCTCACTAAATTCCTAAAAGTGGAACTAATACTGATTAAAATGTATTAAAAACAAAGATCGGTTTAGAACAAAGGGGTGGATGGCTCTAAGAGCTCTGGATGCGGTGGGTCCTGTGACAGGCAATAACTCACTCTCTTTTACTTAGGTATGAAATAATGTACTCTTGCTGGAGAGCTGATCCCTTGGACCGACCCACCTTTTCAATGTTGCGACTACAACTAGAAAAATTCTTAGAAAGTTTGCCTGATGTTCAGGACAAAGCAGATGTCATTTATATCAACACACAGTTGCCGGGGAGCTGTGAGGGCCTGGCAGAGGGCCCTCCCTTTGCTCAGCTAGACATGAACATCAATCCTGACTCTATAATTGCTTCTTGCACTCCCAGCTATGCAGTCAGCATGGTCACAGCAGAAGTTCATGAGACCAAACCTCATGAAGAAAGGTATATCCTGAATGGGGGCAGCGAGGAATGGGAAGATCTGGCTTCTGCCACCCCCACAACTGTGACATCTGGAAAGGATGGTGTTTTACTGGAGGACAGACTTGTAAGGAATGGGGTCACTTGGTCTCATTGTAGCACACTGCCATTGGGGAGCACATCACCAGATGAACTTTTGTTTGCTGACACCTCCTCAGAGAATTCAGAATTCCTGGTGTGAGGAGAGCTAAGAGAAGACATTCCAAAACTCAGTAAATCCTTTTGCTTTAGGAGAATCTATGTACACTTGATATTTTTGTATTTGTGTTCCTGCCAAGTAAACCCCATAGCCTCAAAGTACCAGATGAATGTTTCAAGTAAGTCATCATTAAAAATACATAATACATATTTATTAAAATATACATATATATATATATATAATTTGTGTGTATATGGTAGAAAGAGATAAATATTATATTTTAATAAAAGATGACTTATTTCATTTATCTTACAGATCTTAAAATTTAAACTTTTACAGCCTCATCTCTATATCCTTAGTGTTAACAGTTGTACAGGGTCAAATTCTCAAAGTTCTTTTCTTTTTATGACTATTAAAGATAAGATATTTGTAAAATGAAATGCCATTTTGTATTTTGCTTCCGGTCTTTTTGAAAAATCTGGTATTCCCATATTAATCATCTACTTTATAATAATGATTCATTTAATATTTAAAGTTTTAAAACTGATTATTCTTTTATATGACTCCATAATAAAATATGAATGAGGGAGAATATACTGTACATGCTTGAGACTTGGACAATAGTCATTGGCCTCAGTGCCTTTGCAAAGGAATTAAGTTAATACCTAGACCTCAATTCAATTGCTCTGATCATTCTTAGCATTGCTTTTTAGAAAAAAATATAGTCCAAAGATGAGTAAGAAAAAATGTTAATGGATTAAAAATTCCAACATAGGTGAGAGATTTAAAATAAATTGAAGAGGAACATCTGATGGGTGACATGCTTTTCTGTTTGGGAGGATAACTCACTCCCTCATAGGGGCAGTGAGAGCCATCAGGGTCTGGCATCTGCCTGTTTGGCAGTTTGAAAGAAGGTATCCTCCACACAAGGGAGTCCTGACCCAGCTCCAGATGGCTAGGCACAGGGAAATGTTGCATAGACCACTGGTTTGAAAGATAGTGTCAGTCTAGCTTGTGAGCTCTGACCCAGTTCTGGGTGGCTAGGGCTGAGAGAAAGTGCCATGTGAGTGGCTGGTGATGAGGATAGAGAAGTGGGAAGGTCAGAACTGGATTCATTTCTGCACTTTGGAAATTGTATAGTAATGCTGATCCTTATCACACGGTTAACAATGAAAGTAGGAGTTGCCCACTGTGCCCCTCGCTTAGTTCACCATTGTCTGTTGAACACATACTTGTTGTGTTTCAAGCCTTTTATGTGAACTGTCCTATTTAATCCTTACATCACCATGGAGACCAGTGCCATCACCATGTTCTGAGCCAGGAAGCAAGGTTTGGAGATGTTAAGTAGCCTGCTTATGGCTCACATCTGGAGAGTAATAGAGCCAGAATTCAGACCCAAGCCATCTGACTGGCTGTTTCTAAGCATGTGATTTGGGGCTTTATTCCAGAGCCTCTTGATCTTTTTGTTTTATTTAATAGATACATAAGGCACTTACTATGTGCCAGGCATGGCACTCATTTCATCCTCAACTAGGTACTATTCTTATCTCCATTTCACAGATGGGCAGACTGAAGCAGGAAGAAGCTAACTTGCCCAGAGCCACTCTGATAGGATAGTAGACTTATGTGGTCTGAGGCTACCCATCATTTGAAGTATTAGTGCCTCAGCCCTCAGGGTCACTGATATCCTTAAGCCTGTTGCTTCTACCCTTGAGCAGTGCCCCTGGGCGCCTAAACAGAGCCTGTGAAGAGCAACATCTATGTGGGGCCAAGGGGTGGGCCCGCACAGGCCGGCCCTGATCCTGTGCCAGCTCAGGCACTCCAGTCTCTGTGCGCTGTCTTCACCAGTGCTCCGTACAAAAAAAAAAAAAAAATTCTGAGGGTTTGAAAAGAATCAGCATTGTTACAAAAAAATGCCAACATTACATTTTGTCAAAGAAAGGGGAAAATTTTTTTAAAAAAGGTGTTAGAGCCTATAAAGATTTTTCTCCTATTGAAAAAATTTGAATGGTGATTTTAAAAATCAATAAAAAAAATTTTACCACCCACGATGCAAACAAAGTTTCTTCCTGATGGTGATTATCAAGAATCTGAAGTGGTTGCTTTGATCAGGAATTGACTTTGGCCAGTTCAAGGGGGGAAAAAAAAAAAAAACATATAAAAAAAGTATGTTTATGTTTTAAGCTAAATATCAGTTGCCATCAAGTTGATTCCAACTCATTGTGACCCCATGTGTGTCAGAATAGAACTGTGCTCCATAGGGTTTGCAATGGCTAATTTTTCAGTGGGTGAACTTGAACTTCCAATCTTTTGGTTAGCAGCCAAGCACATTAACTGTATGTACCCAGGGACTCGTAAGCTAAATAAAAACCAAACCCATTGCTGTAGTGGTGACTCCCACTCACAGAAACCTCTTAGGACAAAGTAGAACTGCCTTATGGGCTTTCCAAGGTTGTGAATCGTTACAGAAGCAGACTGCCACATCTTCCTCCTGCGGAGAAGCTAGTGGGTTCGGACTTCCCACTTTTCAGTTAGCAGCTAAATAAGCATTACAAAAAATGAAAAAGTTATTTGGAAGTTTTATATGAATTTAATATTAAATAGCTAAACTAATATACTTTGTGTTCTATATTTCTTTCTTTTTTTTTCCTGTGTGTCCTGCATTTCCTCCATGTGAATGTTGCCCCTCTGGTGCCCTGCAACTGATTGCTCCAAGGGATGTATCTCCATAGAGTATGTGGGTGTGTCACCCTGGATTGAGTGGTCTGCGTGTATGTCTTATTTACTACTGGGCTGAGACCAGCCCTTGGGAGTGAGTTTTATTCCAGGCCCGAAGTGTATCCCAGGGCCATCATACAGGAGGTTCTACCAGACTCCATCCGACTAGTAATTCTGGTCATTATTGTGTTTTTGGAATTTGTTTCACGTTTTTCCTCCCACTCTATCCAGGATCTCCAGTTTTGATTTCTTCCCAAGTGGTTGGCATTGGTAGCCAGGCACGCACCATCTACTTCTTCTGGTTTCAAGGGCCATCATGTCCTAGGGCTGATTGTTTCCAAATGCCCTTGGTTTTTTGCCTTCTTCTTCACTTCCAATGATAGGAGACCATTAGCTGCATCTTAGATGACCACTCAAAAGTTTTTAAGACCCAGTTGCTACTCACCAATGTAGGTGGTGGAACAAGATTTTTATGTATTTTGTTGTGCCGATTGAGTCTGGTGTCCCCCAACACTATGGTCCTGAGTCGGTAGATCTGTTGGGACCACTCTGTGTCTGCCTTCTGTTGTGTTCTATATTTCTAATTTTAGTTATATATATGACTACAGTGTAAAATATATATAATGAATAATTCATTGAGAAAAGACTTCTGGTAACATGGAGGAATAGGCAGACAAGTGACACAGACCCTCTTTAACAAAGAAAAGAAAAACCAATTGACAAAGATACAGAAGATAATCCTGGAGCCCTGAGCTCTGAAAGGAACTATACAGAAGTGGATTAGGCACCAACTAGTGGAAAAACCTGAATGAAAACTGAGTACAGAGACGTGGGAGCTGCAGACTGTCCGCTACTCTGACAAGACCAACAGGATAGAGAAGCAACAACAGCCAACAACAACTGACCATTAACACACATGATGATATAACCCAGAAACCAACCCAGCTATGGAAGTATCCAAAGTAAATATGCCTACAAGATTGTAAACAAGGAACCAGAGACTCCAACCAACAAATGAGGACAACTACAAACCAGAAAGAGAGAAAAAAATCTGAGTCATTACAGAACTTCTACATGGTAGGGATGTCCAGAAAATTACAAGATTGAACAGACTGTTCTAAACTTGAGAAGAAAACTATAAATCACAGGGTAGCCTCAAAGAAAAATGATAAACCTTCACATCAAAATAAAAAAGGGGACCAGCATAAATAGTCAGCAAATACTAAAACAATAGCAGTGAAGGAGTGAAGGAAGTGATAACATGATTCATAAACAAAACAAGCTCAGCATAGAAAATTATATGGAACAAAGAAATCGACACAATGAAAAAACCACATGACAAAAATGACAGCAACAAATTCATATTTGCTGATAATTACATATCTGGCAAGGGATTTATCTCTAAGATTGATGGAAAACTCCAACACCTCAACACCAAAGGAATTAACAATCCAATTGAAAAATGGGAAGAAGACATGAATAGACACTTCACCTAGGAGGATATTCAGGTGGTCAGCTAATACATGAAAAGATGCTCACAATCATTGGCCATCAGAGAGATGTAAATCAAAACAACAATGAGATATACCGTCTTACCCTAGCACTGATGGCAAGGTTCAATGAGACAGAAAATAACAAATGCTGCTGGGGATGTGGAGAGATTGGGACTCTCATACACTGCTTGTGTGACTGTGAAGTGATACAACCACTGTGAAAAGCAGTATGGTGATTCCTTAGAAAGTTGGAATTGGAGATACCATTTGACCCAGCAATCCTATTACTAGGTATATATCCTAGAGAGGTGAGAGCCAGGATAGGAACAGACACATGCGTGCTTATGTTCATCACAGCACTATTTACAATAGCAAAAAGATGGAAACAACCTATGTGCCCATCAGTGGAAGAGTGGATGGCCAAACTATGGTACATACACATAATGGAATACTATGCAGCACTAAAGAATAATGTAGAGTCTGCAAAACACCGCATAATATGAATGAACTTGGAGGACATTATGCTGAGTGAAATAAGTCAATCACAGAAGGACAAATACAGTATTAGTTTGTTGTTGTGGAGGATCAAGGAAAGGTTTATATATGGAGGGAAACTTTGTTGGTTGCCAGGGGTGGGGAGAGAGGGGAAGGAACACTGCGGAAAAAAAAAAAAATGCATTGACCCGTGTCACTTTAGTTTTGTGTATTTCACTGTACATAAATTTTATTTCAATAAAACGCATTTAAAATAAATTTTAAAAAATAGTTCATTGAACACCCCACAGCCCCCAAATCCTGCTTCATTCACTCAGTATTTTCAGTGCTAGCTGA